GCATCATGTGTCTGAAGAATAATGTTCAAGTGGGAATGAGGTACAAGAAATGCTGAGCAATCACAGTTTTTCAGACCTAGAAAAACAGGAGCTAAACACCAGGTTAATACTCTGACCAGTCAAACACCCTTCCCCAGGTAACAGGTTGCCATTCACTGACAATATATGCCATGACAAGCCAGACAGAATAAAAACTTCCATGAAAACAAAGCAGCTGAGATGGTCATGAACCTCTATTTGAAGTAAAGGCTGAGCAGTTGTTAAAATCAGTGTTGTAAGTGTGGCAAATATTCTTGTGATCCTACAAAACAGGTATGTTTTGTGCAAAACCTGTCCTCTGAACTACTGAGTTATGATACAGCCAGTGTGTTTCTGCACATCCAACTCCATACATATACACATGTATATTCATCACATCATATAACCTCGATGTCACTGGGATAGCCAATCAAGATCCCAGAGGTACAGCTGCTTCTAAAGAGCAACACAAACACTGATTTTTGGTGGGTTTTGACCAGGTCATAAGGAACAAACCCAAATTTCTTGGACTCAGCCAACAAGAAAACAACAGGATGAGAAATTAATAGGTGATTTACTACAAAAGTAATTACCACTGATCACTTCATTTGGTTTCTGAAAGGCTTGAGGAGAGAAACTTGCCATCCTGCCAAGTTTTGAGAGCCTTTCATCTTCCATAGATAGGTGAAAATTTGAGATGTGCAAAAAGAAAGGACGAAGTGAATAGAATTTCTAAAGGACTTCACTGTTTTATAACCATGACTCAGTTTTTCATCCAGGACATAAGAACTGAAGTCAAGTGGCAAGTAATGAAGTATTTATTAAGCTGTTGGCTGGATCTTCCACCACTACTAATGCAGCCCTAGAGATGTTTCAATAAAACTATGGCAACTTGGGAAAGCTCAGGGTGTGTTATATTCTACTGCTCCTCACTGTGATTAGGAAACACACTGTAACAATGAGGATTGTGTATCTTAAGTATATATATAAATACAAACAGGACATCCACAACAGGAGCTTGTAAATACTTCAAAGAGGTTTCAGCCTTTTAATTCAAAACACATAGTTAAAGTTCCTATCTTTATGGCAGTGTGATGTCACCTGTCGGAATAAATCTGGAGTTGCATCTCCTTTAATGAGATTATATGGTCAAAAAGAGTGGAAGCAATCTGCTTCTACATTTCTTGGCTGAATGGTTTCAAAAGCATCTTTTGACACTAATTTGTTGAATGGATGATTGCGAGCAACATAAAAACAAATTAAAAGTTTTAAGTGCTTGGGCTAGATCCTCAGACAGTGAAAAGCAAAGGTGGTCCATTAAACTCTGTGTGGCTTTGTTCATTTTTATCTACTGAAGATCTGCCTCTTTTTGCTTAATGTGACCACACATACACTTGAGCAGAGAGTTACACTCAGCAGACAATTTATTCTAGTACCGAGCATCCTTCAGCCCCACACTGCCAACAGGAATAGGAGCATTTGTCAGCTCCAGAAGCTACAGAATTAGTTCCTGTGTTCTTGCAACTAAAATAGTTGGGGAAACCACTGGAGGCCCTGTTCTGCTCGATGTGGGGAATGTGATGGATGTGAATGCATATGGCTTCTACATACATAAATGGTACGGTCTAATTTACAGCAACAGGTAAGTATCAGACATTCATCTACACTCATTACACAGCGAAAACACACCTATCTTTAAAATTAAGCCTGGCCACTGTCAAGACAATTCCTTACACGTGCTCCCTTAAGAGCTTAGTCCAGTGCTTCTTCTGATTTACCCATAAACCCTTTAGTCTCCCAATTTGATGCTGCCTGCTACTCTCCATCCTTTCCACTAAATGCCTGCTGTTTCCACCTGATCTGCACAAACTGCTGCTGCTTTCCCCACCTCTCTACTCCAGTTTTGCTCTTCCCCATCTGCTCTCCTGCTCTATTTCACTATCTGGAGCAGCTCATATAAAGATGCAGGTTATTAACATTTTTGCTCCGTTTCCCTTTCCTGTGCACTAAGGGCAGGTAACTGTCATGCACAGGAACCAGCAACAACGCTAACACCTGAAACCACATAAAAACCCGTGGAGTCAATATTGGAAGAATATTTAGATAGAAACTGGAAAGGAGAGAAGACTGGATAACTGAAAAGAAAAAGATCTGCCTGCTCTAACCTGCCCCCAGTTTTAGTCTAAAAGAGCAATACAAAGATGGTATTCAAATCCTGTGCTTGCTCACTCCATGCTGGGTTCACTTGAGTTGGGGTGGATGGGTTGTTTTCTGCGGTTTTGTTTGGTTTTGGCACCTCACACCATATGCTACTACATGAACATAATGCAGATGGAAATTGCAGTGGGTTGTATGCATGACCCACTGAGAGCAAAATTTCAACTTAATGAGCTTAAACTCAATTTAGGAAAATATTCTTGCAGCTTCTAATCAACGACCAGAAGGAGGGTTTTTGTTAAAAGATCGTTATTAGTCAAAAAGGGTAATTTTTGAACACCAGTTCAGCGTCCCAGGAACTAAACGGACCTGCAGCCGTTCCCATTTAAATGCAGGAGGAAATCAGTCTTCATACGTCATGGTGGAAGTTGGCTGCCAGCTGGAGTCAGGGAAGCATCTCCCTTCCGTTCCATAGTAATTAAAAGATCGTGTCATTACAGTTGATCTAGCACCCACAGAAGTCAAAGGAAAGCCATTCATCGACTCTAATGGGCTTTGGGGCAGCTTCAAAATTTCTCCAGCACATGTAGTCCTGACACTTTGGAAACCAAAAGCCTCCCGGTTTAACTGCACTCATCCAGAGCTGAAAAAGGGAAGAAAGTATTTCCACATTTACAACAATCAAGGCTTTGTTTCCTTTGAAAGAAAAGCGTCGGCTTTCAACGGAAAGGACTCAAACCTTTTGTCCAGAAACAGAAACAGAAGAGTCCTGAAAAGCACAAGCCACCATTGCCCCTCCTTTCACCAGCAGCTCTTTTTAATTATCCTTGTTCATCCCTGAGCATAGGATAATAAAAGCAGGCACAGAGCAAGTTTGCTGCAGCTCTCACCTTTGTGGTGGTAGATATTTAAGTTTCACAGTTTTTCAGCTTTTCAACAAAGCCACATCTTCCACCAAGGAAATGGAACAAGCACAAACCCCCCACCCTCAACCATTTTTCAGTCATTTCATTTCCGCGGGTAAAAACCATTATCCAGAAGAATTACCATTTTAGGGGGAAAAAAGGTCTGAATCTTAAAATTAGATCCTACCATAGCACCAAATTTATAATAAATCCTTTCATGTGCATAACAAACATTTCATCCCTCTTATTTTTCCTAGCACTGAGTGGTATCTGCTCTGCACACATTTTAATACTGAAGAGGTTGCTGAAGGAGGCTTTTGTTGTATTATTTCATAGGTGCTATTGAGGACTAACTCCAAAGAGGAAGATACTTAATCATTGCTGAAAATCCCAAGTAGCTCTGCAAATCCACAGGCTTTTGTGACCAGGGTGTATTTAACCTGGTCTGTCAGCATTTTCTTGACTTCTGAGGAGTTTGCAGTTCTTTAGAGATGATTATTCACAGGTTGCATTGCTGGGCATAAACCCAATATATCTATAGACCTTAACTCCCCAACTACCATCCCCTTCCCTCCATCCATGGATCTAAGAAACGTTCTGACAGAGAAGGTCATTATATTGAATGCATTTCTGAACAAACATATGGTTTCACCACTCCAAATGGAAGTCAAGCCTCACCCATCTTGTGAAGGCAATGAGAAATCAGCCTAATTGAGCCTGGGACGTTCGCATCTAGAGGCACTCACCCCCAAATCCAGTTATAGCTCTGAAGCAACATTTTCCAAGCACCCACATGATCTTGTAAGCTCAGTCCCACTTTCAAAAATTGCTGTATTTAAGTTCTTGAAGGTGTTGGTTACTTTCAGTGGGGAGTAAACCTTTAAGACCCAAATCATATCTGAAACAGGACCAGAAGTACTTCCACAAAGCTTTATTCATTAAGTCCATTTCCACAAGGCTGGATTCAGTCTCCACATCTATAATCAATTGCACCACAAACTCTATAGCTAGAGCATGACTGAAATGTGCCCACATCAGAGGTACCCAGTTGCTCTCCTGCATCTCAAAGCAACCATGAACCACCTAAGAGCATTCCTCGGGCTGAGATCAAGGCAAGGCCAGTAAAAGTGGATTTCCTCATGAAGAGCAGCAGAAGTTTGACCAAACACACATATGCTGGAAACCAGAGCTAAAGAGATTTCACCTTTAGCAACAGCCATGTATTTGAGGTCTTCAAGCCCCTCTGCTGCCTTGGCCTCACAGCAAAGAAGAAAAAAACAGAAACCATACAACACAACTACCAAAAGGAGATTATTTGCCCAGATGACAAGTTACCCTTGGACCTGACCTTTTTCGTTTATGCATTAAAACAGTGGTAGTTACTTCTTCCCAATATACAGGATGCCTGAAGCAATTGAAAGCTGCTGCTGGAACAGGACGAGGGAACACATTAATCTGTTGAACAGCAGAATGCCTCATGCAGAAAACATCTGCTCAACAAACTCAAGATGAACAACAATGAGCTCTTTGATGGCTCATTCTCACCCAGATGCTGGGAACCATCAAAGAGCCACTCATAGTAGCAGCCAGTTAGTTACTAATGCAAAAGAGCTTACAGGAGAAGGACCTAGGCTCAGGGCATCAGCACAGCTCCCATTTAGCACCCAACAAACCTTGACTTGCATCCCCAATACCACAATGTGGTTCTGTGCTGAAAGAGCAAGGTTCCATTGAAACAAAAACCCAGTAATGTACAATTTGTGACCCTAAGAGCTGTCAGGTGAGCATCAGGAGGCAGTCCCTCTGAAATCCCACAGCAGCATGCTCTCTCAAGTGTGGAAACCCATGCTTGTTTTTAAAAGTCACTGCAAAAATACTCGATACCAGCACACAGTGAAAGAAAAGTGTATTTTTTCCTACCTTTTCTTCTTGTAACTTCAAACCTTCTGGAGTCCTATAAAGAAAAAGAGACATTTTTGTGGGTTTTGTTGTGGTTTGGGTTTGTTGTTTTGGTTTGGTTTTAATACAATAATTGCTCAAAGGCAGCATGAACAAAACCCCCTAAAAACATTAGTCATTGTCCCAGAGAAGCATCTATGAAGCTTTACACAATAACTGAGGAGTAATTATAAGCATGTATTTCAGTTTGTCCACAGGTATTTAATGGATCAATAGATCACCTAAAATGATTCCTCATTCATTCTGCGATAAATAACATGGTAGAGCACAATCTCTTTCTTTAAAATGGATTTTTCTTCTCTATTGATGTTAAAAGGGAGCAGCAAGGAGGGTTATTATTACTGTATCAAGGATTTAGGGTTGGGGAGGGAGGAGACATTACAGATATATTTAGCAGAGGCATGTTCAAATACTTGAATAATTTCAAAGCAATCAGACTCCTCACGCTTAGAGCTGAGGGCTCTTTCAACCTCTACACACCTACACCATTTGCCCTATTTCTTGCAAAGCATCACTACTATCTATAATAAAATTCCTCTAAAAAGACAGTGCATAAAGTCTCAAAGGGTGTTGCGATCCCAGGCAACACTATGTACTTACACTAGTGCTGAAACTCCAGAGGAATACTTCATTCCAAGCAGTTACATTATTTATGGGTTAATTACAAATACTGACAGTTTCCATCATTTGAGATACTTCCTGTATCAAAACCAATGGAATCACAGAGGACTCAAAGACCATCTTGCCTGGAGTCCCATTGACCTGGACGGTGCCTACTGATGGGTGATGTAACATTAACCCTACTAAATGCAAGCTCTCCAGACCCCTGCCAAAGGCTTATAAGGGGCTTTTTACTCCTGTGGATATGCCTTAACCTCATTTCATTCCCTTAGTGCTCACTGTTCTCAGATGTTTATCAGAGAAGGAAAACAAAAAAGGTTTGTTTCTCTCTTGCTTCTGATAGGAAAATAACACACAGCCTCCCCAGACATCTAAGCTTTCTGCCCTACCTGATGCTTATTATGGGTTTATTTGTACTTTTTCACTTTTTTTCTCTATAATAAAGTACCTCCCTGCAGACCACATTTAGACAAAGAGAAGTGCTACAGATCTCCTGAAATACATCCACAATCCTGTCTGTGGTACAGAGCACCCTGCCACAGGGTAATTGGAAATAAAGCAAGCTGCCACTGGAGCACAGAGTAAAAAAATACAGAGTTTATCCAAGTGAAAGACAGAAATAAACAAAAGTGGGGAAAAAAAATCAGCTTATGGAAGTAACAATGGTATCTGCTCAGCTAACTCCTGAAGGCCACAATTACCTCCCTCACCCGAGTACATCAGATAGCATTGGGTAATTCAGAATGAGGTGGTTTATTCCAGGATGTGGTATAACACACACTGGATGCTAAGGTGTTGTAGCTATTTCTAGGTAATAGATGCTGCTGCTTTGCTACAAGTGACCAGTAAGCTGTCTTTCTCAAAGCTGTCACCAAAACAGAGAAGTATCAGAACAGCAGACATGGTCTTGGCAGTCTCCAAGTCAACTGCTCCATCCCTGGCAGTGTTCAAGGCCAGGTTGGACACAGGGGCTCGGAGCAACCTGCTCTAGTGGAAGGTGTCCCTGCCCGTGACAGGGGGTTGGAGCTGGATGAGCTTTAAGGTCCCGTCCAACCCAAACCAGTCATTGACTCTATGAACTGAGGGGAATAAACAAAAAATGGGTATTTGCTTATAAAAATACCAAGTCATTATCCCCTGTAGGATGCTACCTCAGTGATCTTGAGTAACACATAAAACAGCATTCAGGCTAAGTACAGACTTCAAAGGATTTATCCTCTTTAGGCAGCAAAGCTGAGCTGCACAGACAGTTACACTCCAGGGACCTCACAGAGCTTTTCAAAATATTAGTTTGAGGTGGGGCACAGGATAAAAACTCAGATGCAGCCTGCTACCATTAAACCCATGTACATGTAATATATGCAAGAGGGAAAAGTACTTTTAAAGTTCCCCCGAGTCCCTCACTTTAACAAGCTGTTCGAATACTCTGCAGTTCAAAAGCTTAGAAACACTAAAACTAATTACAACTATTACATTGATCAAAAGGGGGAAAAAGACACTCACTTTATAAAATTCAAGTGCCAGCTCACTTCTATTAAATACCCTTTTGGTACTTCCATGTCTGCACAGACATCACTGAAAACAAAGGATGGTCTTCAAAGGTTCTCTTCTTTTACTCTGATCCCTTTATAATTGTAAGCTCTAATGAATATAAACTACCCCAAAGACCAGACACATGATTCAGAGGAAAAGCTTGTTAGAAATGCAAAGGGAGAACAGGAGGTCAGGCTGCAAGTCACCACTTCTCATTACCTGGCAGAATACCAGCACTTGGTATGTCCCCCCCCAAAATTCCCCTTCAGTGGAGGAAAGGCATTGAGAACACTCAACACTTCAGGAATACAAGGAAAATCGGGAAATATACCTGGCAACCACAGCAGGGCTTAAACAGCAGCCACAAACATCCATCACCTCCAGGCAGACACACAACTGCGGTTTCTATCCCTCTAGTAAAGTAAAACTACAGCAAGGGCTCATTTTTCTTAGTTTGCCTCAGCCAAATCATTTCTCTCTTCTGTAGCACAGAAAAGAAACGATGCTAATTTCCCTCCTTGAGGGCATGTTGAACATAAGACCTTTCTATTAGTGATCTAATATACCACTAAGAGACATTACCAGCAAGTCTGGCCACAGGCACAGCGCCGTGTATGGTTTGGGCAATCTCTTCACAGGAGAGAGTAGTCACCTTTTCTTTGAAGTACAAGATGCTGCTCTCAAGTTTAAAAGGGAAAAAAACCCCAAAAAATCACACTGAGGTTTTAATAGTGTTACTGGTAGAGAATCAAACTATTTTGACAAAAATGACACTGAAGTTCTTGGATGCATTGCCCAAGGAATACTCTCCTGCAGAAGCCATAAAGCAGATGGTTATAAATGAGACTTATTTCATGGGCACCATTTAACGACTACAAATTCCTTTAACTAAAAATCTAATTTTATCAGAGCATAACTCATAGGCTTTGAAGGGAAAAATTTGCTTCAGATTTCTCATTCCTTCTAGAAAGCTTCTTCACAAGTACCATTTTAAGTAGCATTTCATTAATGCAATACACCAGTTTTATTTGTCAAGGTTTGTGTTTAGCACCTATTTTCCTTTGGTTTAATGTTAGATAATTGAATGCAGAAGAAAAAGTCCTTCTGTTCTGTATCTGAAATGCCCAATCACCATGTGGAAATCAATGTAGTGTGTTTGCTCCTGCATTTGGTTTCACCAGACACGTAGCTACTGAAAAAGTGCATCTCCAAAAGACCAACCAACCCAGCGCGAATGGTTGAGAGCAGATGTAGTGTCATCAAGTGCAATTATTAACCCAACCTGGACTTGGAGGACAAAACCAACAATACAAATCAGAACTACAGTTCACTCCCTGTAGCTGCCGTGTGTTGCACAAGCACCTGTGTGAACCTCATGCCATTTAACAACAAAGCCCTTTTTGGCTCTCACAAAAAGGGAACGCCAGTCTTTCAGAAGACAGCATCTCGATGTCCTGCCATGCTGTAATAGCTGGTTTGTGTTACAGGCTGCTGATTAATGCTGAATCATGGGCCCACGGATGAGCAGAGCACTTCTGGAATGAAAAATCAGATTTCATTCAGAACAAACACAGGGTGGGGGACGCTTCATTGTGCAGAGTTAAAATACAGCTACACAGAGGGAATACGCAATGTAGTACAGTGCTTGGTAACCAGAGTGCTGCAAACAGATTTACTGGCAGTCATTAGTGAGGGATCCAAGCAGCAAAACCACCTTCAGGTTGTTTGGTATCAGTGTAAATAAAATGTTTAAACATCTCTATAAAAACATATCTGCATTTGTCCTGTACCCCCACAAATAACATATTGTGGACTATACAAGGCAATGGTCTCCTCTCCCTGTAAATCCCTGCTACAGAGTGAGGGGAAGGCTACGTGAGCTTCTGCTGCTGAAGCAGGAGGCCCCCATCTCCTGACACCATTGGAAAAAGGGGCATCACACAGTGTGTACTGTATTTTACTTCTGTCTCCTCTGATTGTTGGGTTTTTCTTCCCCACATTAGGGTAATGGAAGATTTAGCTTCAACTCTCCTGTGGTCAAGCAAACCCAAGTTTGCTGGGCCCTATTTGTTGTCTTGGTCTACAGCCTTCAGGTGTTGATTTTGTATGCCTTTAACCAGGGAAGCCCAGAAAACATGGAAGAACCACCACTACACTATGAACGCCAATTGCTGTTACAATCACTTCAGCCTAGCTTCATTACACCAATGATAACCAGCAGTTCATCATTTTCACTTTTTAGAGCTGCATTCAAGAAAACAGGGGGGCAAGGAAGGACCATGTGCATGGTCCCTGTCCCTGGAAATTCAAGGCCAGGTTGGATGGGGCTTGGAGCAACCTGCTCTAGTGGAAGGTGTCCCTGCCTGAGGCAGGGGTTTGGTACTGGATGAGCTTTAAGGTCCCTTTCAACCCAAACCATTCTGTGATGCTATGATTCCTCTTAGCTTTATAACTACAGGCAAGACCAACACACTGAAGGGCTAATTTCTGATTATAAAAGTGATCTATGACACCCAAGAAATTGCTGTACCAAGCTGCAAGAACTGTTTGTCATGTAGAAACCTAATTCCCACATCTATTAATAACATCCATCTATTCTCTCCAGCCAGGGACCAAGCAGGCAAAGCAGAACAGTCATGTGGATGCTCCAACTACGCAAAGTTATTATTGCAACTTGAACAAGGGGAGATCTTCCAGAAACAAAGCTTAACCAGAACTGCCTCTACACAAAGCTAGTCCAGAACTGCCTGTAGGAAGCACAGTATGAAGCACAGCTTCCCCAAAGCTTTAAAACACCCATGGGACTGGGGACAAGACGCAGGCACATAAACAAGCTGCTCA